ACCGACTTTCCACACACAACTTTCTTAATCTTCCTCCTTCCGCTAGAAATACGCTCACGAGGGCAGGGGCTTTTGTCTCGTGTGGGTGCTATTTGTTCTCAGTGGCTAGAACTGAGCTCACGGCTCGCGAGGGGAAAAAACTTGAATGAATGGACTCCCTAGGCCGTGGGAAACGCCGGGGCGCATGGGAAATTGAGTCTTCAATCCGGAAATCATTTAAAGGCAAAGCACCCCCAGCTTGCCACGGGGTGGGTTGGGGAGCGCGCCTCGGGCATGCCGGGGAGTGAGACTTCAGTGTGAAAATGAGGGCGCTGGGAAATGTAGGCCTCAGGGCCACGCCCCGAGAAGTCCCCAGTCCGCACACTCGGCACACTGTGCACTGAGGAGCCCCGCAGGTCAGCGACCCCACCAGCGCTCCCGGCCACGGAGCCCTCCGGGGAGTGCAGTCCCAGCTCCCCCCGCTCTAGTTGCACAGTGGGATTTGTAGTCCGGAACGAAGTGCTTTAGTGGGCTTGGAAAGCCGGTGGGTTTTTTGTTGTTGTTTTTTAATATTTTTTTAGATGCTGATGAACGTTTATTTTATTCATTTATTTATATGTGGAGCTGAGAATTGCACCTAGTGCCTCACACATGCCAGGAAACGCTCTGAAACTGAGCCACAACCCCAGCCCGGTTTCTGGTTTTTGGTTTTGGTTTTTGGTACTGGGGATTGAACTCAAGGACGCTAAACCACTGAGCCACATCACCAGCCCTTTGTTAATGTTTTTTGTTTTTTTGATACAGAGTCTTGCTAAGTTGCTGAGGCTGGCCTCAAACTTGTGAACCTACTAACTCAACCTCGACAGTCTGAATTTATAGGCACAGGCCACTGCACCCGACTTGGGCAGTGGTCTTAATAGTAGACCCAAGACAGAAGCATACCTTGGTGTTAAATATCCCGCACCCAAATCCAAACTAGGAAGGATATGAATACTTTGATATAGGAACACAAAAAAGCTGCCAAAATCTGGACAGAGGTGATAAACTTTTTCCCAAGGACACTGGAGCAGCACGTCCACTATGAAATCCTTTAGCTTATGCAGAAACGTTACTGATGCCATGAGGCTGGGGATGGCAGGCCGTAGATATAAAGAGTCAGTCCCATGGATCTTGAATAGTAGTCCCGCAACCCCAACCTCCTTTCCTCAGGTTAGCAAGAAGTAAATCGTCATGGTGCTGTGCAGTGCGGGGTGTGTGTTTCTGTGGCTCTTCGTAATTGTGATGTGTTGAAATTGTGTGTGTTTATGGTCCTGTCTGTGGTTGGACGTGTCTTGTTCACAAGCACTGCGATTGTGTTTGCAAGGGTTCATGTAAATATGTCTGTGTTCTTGCAACTATTATTATTTATGTGAAAAGACACTTTGAGGCATCTGGTCAGCCCACTCAGTGGTCTGTGAGACACGTCTCAGCATAAGCGCTGTTAGTAATCTTCACATCAATTGCTAGCTTTATACTTCAAAAACTTCTCTTTTTTTTATGGACCTTTATTTATTTTTTTTTATCTTTATGTGGTGCTGAGAATTGAACCCAGTGCCTCACACATGCTAGGCAACCACTCTACCACTGAGCCACAACCTCAGCCCTCAACTTCTTTTTTAAAATCCTGTTCTACCACCATGGTTGCGAAATCCAGCTCTGGATTTGACCATCCTGAGTTTGAATCTTGTCTCGACTTGCTTCCTGGCTCTGTGACCTGTGGCTAGTCTGTGCCTCCTGCAGCTGGAGAGATGGTGCCAGCATCATGCACCTTCACCCTCAGGTCCCACAGCGTAAATCTCCCTCTGTCTTTGTTTGTTTGTTTTTGCACCAGGGATTGATCTCAGGGGCTCTTAACCTCTGAGCCATATCCCCAGCCCTTTTTGTTTTTTATTTAGACAGGGTCTCACCTTGTTGCTTAGAGTCTGCCTAAATTGCCGAGGCTGACCTCAGACTTGCAATACTCCTGCCTCAGCCTCCAGAGCCACTGGGCTCACAGGTGTGGCCAACATGCCCAGCTCTGTCCTTCTCTTTCTGGCGCTGAAGTCTTCACACTTCTCAGGACTGCTGTTTTCTCTCAACACCAACAGTGGAATTATGGTGCTTTACCTCAGAACCCCAAGGCGCCCCCCTAACTGCTAGCAAAAATAAGCTCAGAACGATAAGAAGAAACTTTTCCCTCTTCCCCTGTGATGGCAGAAAAACAAACACTAGTCTGCACAGTAAAGATGGTTGGATAAGCGGGTGAACTGAGAACACAGAAGTAACAAGCCAACTCCTATAAGGCTCAGAGCAGAGAGGAGACTCGTGTCAGCTCCAATCTCTGATTTTAAAACTCTCCTTAGAAGAGTTATTTGCACAGAGGAACAGTTTAAGAGAGATTATATCATCAGGGACATCCAGAGCTGGCCTGCCTGGGACACACTAAGCTGGGTCTCCAAACTCAGCCCAACAGGAAAGAGACTTTGCAACAGGTGTCCCCAGGAACAGTACCCTTCCGAAGGCTGGCTTGGCTTGGGCCTGGCGGAATCCTCCCAGCACACAGCAGTTGCAGAGAGGGAGTGCGACCTGGGTGGGAAGCCGGCTCTTCCAGGTTGCTACCTGTCCCTGCTCCTGTCCAACCACTGTCCTGTGCTCCCCTTCCCCCTTTCCCATAGGTCAGCTCCATGATGATGGCAGTGATGACCTTTTCCCTGTTTCTCTTCCACCACTGTAGATTCAGGGAGCAAGAACTGTCTTTATGTCTGTAGGATGTCCCTTCCAGAGACACAACCAAGTCTGACTCATAGGTTTGTTCCGACCCCTAAGAACCTGGGCTATGGTCCTTGGGAAGGAAGTGAATGAGTTCCGTGTGCAGGTGCTGAAGTCTAGACACTTGTGTTGGAGTGGAAGGAACTGGCCAGGTCAGAGCTGCTCAACCCCCATAACTCCTTCTTCCTCAATAACACGGCCCTTATTTTGTCTGGTGTGGAAAAGCACCCGCTAACTGAAGACTGAGCCGCAGATTCCCACATCCCGGCCTAGCCAGGGGATGATGCTGCCCTGGGGCTTCTCGGCTGTCCTGCTCGCCCGCGCCTTCCCTCGCTGAGGGCCTGCTGGGAGGTATCTGCCTTTGGGAGGGATGGGAGTGCATAGGGTCTTGGAGGGCACCTACCCAGGGAGGAATTCTGGGTCATGGGCAGCCCGTTTCTCTTCCTGAGCACAGCTTTGCAGAGTAGCTGTGGGAGTCCACCCCTCGGGGAGTGCCAGGGTCCCACCGCACATCATTTTGGTGCTTCCTGGTGACTCTACCAAGCAATAGCTACTTGTCAAGCACAAGCGGATCGTCCACCCACATTAACACCAGAGCACTGAGCAGGTGCCTCGGGGGAGCCTTTATTTCAAGCCATAGACGGGCGGAGCCCTCCAGCGCTCCCGGAACCTCGAGGGGGGCCTTCCGAACTCCTCACTTCCAGAGCTCCTCACTTCCAGCGGCCTCCAACTCGGCCCTTCCCTGCCCCCTTCCGGCTGTGGGACAAGGAGGCAGTATCAGGAGCTGAGGCTTCCCAGCCTCGGAGATGGGCACAGGCCCTTAATTCAGGATTCCACCAGGGAAACACCCACCTCCACCCAGAGGAACAGGTGGGCAGATTGAGGGAGCACGGGAATGGGGGACTGTGGGCGAGTTCAGGGTGACCTGTGGCAGAGAAATGCCCTTGGGGAAGGGTGGCCTGCGGGTGGGCGACATGAGAGGCAGGGTGGTGGGGGGGGGTGGCAGAGAGTAAGAAGCGCATCTGTAGAGCAGACTTTCTCCACCAGGCACAGGTGACCAGGAGGCTCACTGTGCATTGTGGGTGTCACACAATCTCGACAGGGGCTCCACCCCCTCGACACCAGGTTGTGACAACCTGAGTGTCCCAGCACTGCATATGTCCCCTGCGAATCAAGATCTCTGCTTCCCACCCCAGGCTACAGGGACACAGAAAAGGGACTGAAACCAGAGAGTGGAGACAGAACAGAAAAGGATGCCCTGAGAGCGAGGGACCAGGGAGAAAGCGGGGGATCTGCCAAGAGGCCTGGGTGGGAACCCAGCACCGCGGCTGGGGATGTTGGGACTTGAGCCTTGAACTTACAACTTCTGGGCGTGGCTGATTCGGTTGTAGAGCACGTTGATCTGTGGGGGTGGGAGGCAGAGGCTGGGAAGACCGAGGGGACACCCGCCTGCCCTTTCCTGCCCTGCCCCTACTGCCAGCCCCAGCCAGCCCGGCCTCCAGCAGGGGAGGCGCCCACCTCATATTTCTGCTGCTTCAGCTTCTCCATCAGGTCGAACTTCTCGGACTCCAGCTGGTGTATCCAGTCCGACAGCTCCTGGGCCTTCTCCCTGGAGAGGCAGGAGGGCGGGATGGAGGGGAGCCAGGCCTCAGAGACAGAGAGCCGCTTGGGCCCAGAGAGGCTGACGGCACCGCAGAGCCACACAGCCGGCTCCAAGCTTGGCACTGTCAGTCCTGGAAGCCAAGGACTTTCCATCTGTGCTCACTCTCTCAGCTCCCACGGTCAGAGCTGCGGCCCCAGACACGGGAAGCCCAGGCTCCAGTCCTGGCTCTAGTCTCTCATTTATGACCATGGCCCAGGGACTTCTCTAGAATCTCTAAAGAATTCCTCCCCTAAAAAATGCAGAAATAAAACTGAAGCAAGGATGGCTGGCTGTCTACCAACCGTGCCCATTTCCATTCTCCCTTTCTTCTTGGGAAACAGAACCCTGTGCCATAGGCCCAGCGGACAGGCCAACTCTCCACCCTCCTTGCAGGTAGGCGAGGCCAATGGGATCAAAGTAGCTCACTGGCTTCAGCAAAGGCCTTGTGGCTCTTTCCTTGCAACCACCTTCTGCTGCTTGGTGCCCCAGCAGCTGTACTGGACCATGAGGTGATTTCGAGGATGGGAATGGTGGACTAAGAATGGTAGAACAAGAAGACAGGCGTCTGCGTCTCAGGTGATTACACACCAGCCATGGACTACTTTCCTTCAGAATTCTTCTACGTGAGAAACAAACCTCTGTGGTTTAGGCTGCTGTAGGCAGCCTCAGCTACTCCAGGCCAAATCTGACAGAGCAAGGTCCAGGGCTCTGAGCCACAGGGGGTGAGGAAGGCGTGTGAAGTGCCTGGCACACAGGGAGCCCCCGGAGAGCCAGCCCTCCTACATCTGTTCATCATCATTAGCGTTCCTAGTCCTCTTTGGCTTCCCCAGGAGCCTCTCCTCCATGGGGTACAGGTGGTCCCCTGCGGGTGCAGGTCCCTGAATTCCCTCCACAGTACCGCACCACTCCAGCCGCAGCACTTCCATTGTGTTAGCAACTGTGTGGGATCCGGCAATCACAGAGCGCAGAGGGTGTGCCCCCTCTAGCAGGTACTACAGTCACACGACAAGGGAGCTCAGCACCTGTGGGGTCCGTACAAAGTCCTGCTGGATGCTGAGGGACACCTGTATTTTACTTAAAAGGCGTATAGCCCCTTATGCTTCAGTTTCTCTCATCCAATACATGAAATTTTGTAACTTGAGATTCTCAAAAAATACGATTGAACTTGAATTATGAGTAGGTGTGGAGCAGGGGGAAGGGGGAAAAGGAAGAAATAGGAAATATGAACATCATCACCACATTGCTTTACGCCAGGCCCCGTGAGGGTCTTTACGTGAACCATGTGTGGGGAGGGTGGACACACAGCACAAAGGACATCCAAGCCAACAAGCCAACCTGTGCAGCTTGGGAGGCTGAGGCAGGAGGATGGCAATTTGGAGCCCAGCCTCAGCAACTTAGCAAGACCCTGTCTTAAAGTGAAAACTAAAAAGGGCTGGGGATGTGGCTCAGTGGTTAAGCCCCTGGGTTCAATCCCTGGTATAAAACAAAACAGGATTTCCAATCCCCCTGCAGCACCTGGCCCTGGACTATAAATCCCAGCGTGCCACAGGAGTGCAGGAGCCGGGACTACTGGGGGCCCAGGCGGGTTGCTGTCACCTGGCTGGGGCCCCTGTGAGACCCTGGACTTCTCTGGACTGGCCCTGCGGACTACATTTCCCAGCGTTCCTGTGCACACTGCCCCAACTCCAGTGAGCCGCTCACCTTGGTAATTTGAAAGTGTTTACACCACGGAAATGGGCAAGAGCTGAGCCTGGACTCCACCCCAGGACAGCTGACCATACACCTTTACTATCAAATCACTTCACAGCACAGTAGCAAATACAGACCACCACACCAAACTGCTCGGGTTCAAGGCCCGGCTCTTCCACCTGCTTGCTGTTCAGCCCTGGAAAAGTTGCTTCACTTCTCGGTGCCTCAGGTTCCTCACCATGAACGTGAGGATGCCAACAGCGCCCACCTCATGGCTGTGAGTCCCCCACAGGGGACTGCTATTTGTTGTCCTCACCACACTGACCCCCTCAGAGCACCTGGAGGGACAGCGGGTAGACTTTGCTCTCATAGAATCCTTGGGCCAATGAGAAGCAGGAGTCGGAAGCTAAAGCTCAGATGACCCAGCCCCTTCAGAACCCAGGCCAGCGCACAACAAGACACAGGGAGCCCAGAAGGACAGGCCTGGGGACTGTACCCCTGTGGAGCAGGGGGAAGAGGAGAGCGTGCCAGGCCACAGGGCTCAGCCGGAAAGTCCCACCAGACGGCCGCTTGAGCGCGGAGGAAAAGGAGCCCCCAGCACCTCAGAAACAGCCGTCCAGCCCCAGGCCAGGCCCAGTCTCCATCCAGGGGCAGCTGGACGTGGGTCCCCTGGAGCTGCACCATCCAGAGGGCAGCAGGAGCCAGAGCGGCTGCACATGCCGAGGTAAAGCAGCACC